TAGTGTTTTCACAGTGGAACCACCAGGTCACTTACCTAAAGTATCTGGTTCTCCTAATCCAATTCCATTTGTTGAAATCATATTTACTCCAAATCTCGTTTGCGAGAAATTAAAACAGCTTAAAGTGTCAAAGTCTCCCGGTCCTGACCTCATCATTGCGAAAATATTACACATGTGCGCTGATACTTTGTGTGAAGCTCTCTCCATACTTATGACCAGATCTTTTAATTCCGGTATCCTCCCTCCTGACTGGCGGACTGGCATAGTTCGCCCAATATTCAAAAAAGGAGACAAATTTGACTCGAATAACTACAGGCCTATCAGTCTAACTTCAGTGGTAATCAAGGTCATGGAGTCGATAATGTATGATCAACTGATCCAATTCCTAATGAATCACCGACAGATCCCTAAAAAGCAGCATGGTTTTCTGCCTGGCAGATCCATTCAGTCTAATTTGCTCAGTTGTTTATCACAATGGACTAGTGAGATAGAACGCGGTAACACACTAGATGCTATATATTTGGACTTTTCTAAAGCCTTCGAAAGGGTTCCAAAACGACGTTTACTGCATAAATTGAGACATGTTGGGGTGTCAGGTGTTCTCTTGAAATGGTTAGAGGCCTACCTTAGCGATCGCACTTTTCGCGTCAAAGTTGGAGACTCTCTTAGCCGATCTGTTGAAGTGTTAAGTGGAGTGCCTCAGGGTTCTGTCCTGGGTCCACTTCTTTTTATTGTATACACTGTTGATCTGGGAAACATAATAACGTCACCATTCGCAATGTACGCGGACGACATAAAATTATTTAATAAAAGTTCCAATAACCTATTGCTGCAGGAAGATCTTTTCACAATCCGCAATTGGTCCGGTGACTGGTTGCTCCCGCTTAATAACGACAAATGCAATGTCCTCCATATTGGGAAAAATAATCGTAAGCACAGGTATAATCTTGATGGCAAGCAGTTAACTCAATTGTCTTGCTGCCGAGATTTGGGGATCATTATCGATTCTGGTCTAACCTGGTCCCATCACGTTGCTCTATTTGTTACGGAAAACTTTTTGCAAGATTAGTCCTTTAGCTCTCTCCAAATTGTATAGGATCTACGTGAGACCTATCTTGGAGTTTGCCAACTCCGTCTGGGCACCTGTTTTGCAGCGAGATATTGACCAGTTGGAGTCTCTACAGCGCAGGGCGACCAGAATCCCTTTCGGTAGAATTAGACCGCAATACCATGAACGGCTCTCACTAATGCGACTAACAACTCTATCTGAGCGGCGCATTAGGGGCGACCTGATCACAACTTGTCAGGCTGTAAACAATCCATCATCACCCATTTGTCACCTATTTGTTTTAAACTCAAATCAAATAACACGAGGACATTCTTTCAAATTAATTAAGGAAAGGTGCACTTCCACTGCTCGACGAACATTTCTCACCAACAGAGTTGTTAATCATTGGAACCCTCTCCCTGACGATATCGTTACAAGTCAATCCCTCCTTGTCTTCAAAAAGCGGTACGACGAACATAATGCATAGGCCAAGTTATTAGGCGATTTGTAATCGTAAAAGTTCACTACTCGCGAGCGCGGGCATAACAGACTTCGGTCTCTGCCCGACCGCAGAATTTAATAATAATAATAATAATAATAATATCAACCTTTTCATCGTTCGTGTATCCTCATGTTTTCGCGAAGACTAAAAGCTTATCGGAGCTCAAAATTGACAAATAGAATTATAGTGAAAGTCAAAATTAACCACATACGGGGTAGCTATGTTTGTACATTTTAGAAAAATAAAATATAAAGAGAGTTACATATGAGATATGTATTTTGTGCTGTACAATAAAAAAAATTGTAAGTATATGGTTTTCCGAGATGGTCAGATTTCTTAGATTTTTTTGCATACCTTTCAAAAACACCCTGTATTTATGTAAATGTTTCTGTGTTGTAGAGGGAAAGAGAAAAAAAAACGAATGTTGTTTGGCGAACAACATTCCGCTTCTCGTGTTTGCGCGCCGCCGCTGGTCTCGCCGGAAACCTCACAGCGAGTATCAGGTTACACCTTGTGTTGTCTTTGGATAATTGACGGCCGCGTTTTGTTTTGTTTTGTGCTCGATGGATATTTGTCGTTCGCAAGCATCCATCTAATCTGCGATGTGATGAGTCAGTCATGTAATTATAGATGGGTGTGTCGATGATTATGTGGGTGATTTACCGGCCGAACGGCTCAGTTTACCGACCGAACATGAACAATGGACGGCCGTCGCCGGAAATTCGAAACTGCGGGCGCGTCGACGACAGCCATTCAAATTTACAAAATTATAAATCGCGGAACGCTCGCGAGGACAATAATTTCTGTCACCGCACTCACATCAAACGGGTAATGATTGTTTTACAACCTTTATAAAGTGCGTTTAAAACACATGTTTCAGTGTTGAATTGAAACGCTCCCGCTCGGCAATATTCTTTTGTCGGTAATGGCAACACGAACGCCTTTGATGTTGCAGTTGCGCCTGCTATTTTTTGTTTGATCAACACTTTATTAATGCCATTATTAAACGGGGAAAACTCTCGGTTTCTCTCCTTTGCACTTTTGCCACTTTTGTACCTTTGTCTCCTTGATTTGTTTATTTTGTGACTTCTTTTGCAAATGTGGACTATTCAAGAACTTATGCTATTTGTATTCTCCTCTTTCATTTATCGTTTGCAACGTCATTTAGACAAGGTGGAGAAAAAAATTTATGAAAAATTCACCAGTTCTTCAGCAAGCCGCTATTTCAGGTCGAATCTCCAAGGGCCCAGGGCTCACGCGTCTGTACCTAATTATCTTCAAGTATAAAATGCTCTTGTCAAGAAGAAACAAATGTATCCTATGTATCGAAATTGTGAGAGCATCTTCTGCAAACAAAAATAACCCTACAAGTTTGAATAAACAGTGCCTTATAAAAGAGTTATGGTAGATACATCAGAAACGTTCTTTTAAACACAGTTAAATAACGTGAATGTAGTTCGAGGAAGAAATTTGAATTTGTTATAAAAAATTGGACAACCACTGACAAGAATTGTGTTGTTGACATAAATATGACGATAAATTTAAATTTTGAAAAATTTTCTGATGCATGCATATCAAAGGGTCACGGCCTAAATTTATGGCAAATGTTGCAATGTAAAAACTGTATCCTACTCGCCCAAATGTCTAATAAAGTAAATTCATTTTAGAGTTTGTATTTAAAATCAAAGTTTAAGTCGCCTACATGGCAGTGTTTTACTCTTTAGATGTACCTAGGTACTTAGAAAAATAGTTGTCTAGTGTGCAGTTAAAAAAAAGGATAATATTCTTGACCAAGTTTATACCACTTTAAATGGACGCACTCATGAATTTTAAGGAAGTGTTCCAATGGTTTGCGTTCTGAGATAGGAATAGGAGAAATATCAGCTTTTTGTGATACCATTTATAAGCCTACAATATTCGCAATTGAGTTAAACAACTTCAGGAAAACCGTGTTCTACAACTAAATCGGAGAACCACCATTTTAGTAGCGATGGTGTGATACCAGACAGCCGGACACAGATAGTTGGTCAACTTTGGTTCCCCATGCTTTAGGACGTAGTGTAGCAATTCTACACAAGAGGACGCTGCTTAAAGGTTAAACATAGTGTCCCTGTAGAGGGACACTAATTAAACATAAAGTCACTTAAAGTACCGCAATCCATTAGGCCCATGAGTTAGAGAGAGATATGTCAATTTTGCCCCAAAATGGTGGCGCTTTTTAGTGTCTTTTGTACATTACTAAAAGTTTACTGGTAGAAGTGCTTCAAGGACGCATTCTCTGCTACGTCACATAAATTGAGTTCTGTGGTGTATAGCTAAACTGACCATTTTTTTTTAAGTCAAAACGGGACGTCCATACATACTACTAATAAAATAAATCTAATATAGAATATAGATATACCATACATACATAACATGACATACCCCAGTGGGAAGGTTAACAATAAAAATAAACAGAACTTTTTAATCTTCTTTCTTTATTTTATGTTCACAAAAATTAAAAATATTTTTAGTATTATAAGTAGTTATGAAAAATAAGAAGCAATCACCAGCTTCATTAAAGTAAAGCACCATTTATGTGACAGTAATTATTAAATTGCAACATAATATTATATTTTTAGTCGTATTTATATTTCTCGGAGGAACAAATTTGCTTTAATATTGATGGTGATGCGCGGTTTTAGAAAACGGGACAATTTTGCGTTCCAGATCATTATATGGGGACAACGGGACAGGTGGTCCAATAAAGGGGCAGTCCCGTTCAAAACGGGACGTCTGGTCACTTTATGTATAGCACGTGTATAGTTTTTGCCGGTGTGTGTCAATTTATTTATAGGAATTATCGCGTTTGTGTTTATTAGTGCATTTGTGCTAAATTGTCTACGTCATTAAAATGCCTGCGTAATCTTGTAAAAATAAATAATAATTAGTTTATTGTTAGTTGCATTACGTATCTCCCAGCCCTTTTTATATTCTTGTTCTCCCAAAACCTGGTAACTTTGGAAATTTCCAATTTTTGTTTGTTTAAAAAATAATTACTTTCTCAGCATTTACCTCCCATAATATAATATGTTGATGTCTGTTATTTTCACTATATGCCAAAGTATATAGCCCTCTTGGCTAAATATTTTTGCATTCCTTGAAAAATTCAGATTTCAGATAAATAACATTTAAATTTACCGCTTTTTTGCCCCAAAATGGAGGAGCATTGCGGTACTTAATCTATCTAGTGACTTTAGTTAAACATAAAGTCCCTAGATAACCAAAGTAACGCAATTGAATGTTTCAATGTGTTAGAGAGAGAACGTGTATTTCGGACACAATATGGCGACCGACAAACGTCAAAGTTAATTGTGAAACTCTTTTTAACGCATCACCTCGTGGCGTAAGTCCTGTTTTGCAAAGTTGTTCGTGTTTTTTGTAAAGTTGTTTGTGTTTTTTTGTGGTATTTTATAACTTTTATTTTAAAATGCCAAGTTGTTGTGTTCCTTTGTGTGGAAATAAAAGCCGATTGTTTCGTCTTCCAACAGGTAGGTTACAACTGAGTTTTCAATTGAGTTTTTTCAACTAATTTAAATTGTTGCAGGTGTTAGTAATAGGGCTAGAAGAGAGATGTGGGAGAATTTAATAGGCCGGGACGATTTGAACGACAACTCCAGAATTTGCGAAGTAATTTGTTTAAAGCTTGAATATGTAATTGAACAATGTTAAATATATTTACTTTTAGTTACATTTTTCTGAACAACAATTCGAAGCAAAGCGAGCAGATGGAAGGAAACTATTGCGGCCGAATGCTGTTCCAGATGTATTAAATAAAAATGTTGGTGCTTGTGTTTCAATGGACGACTGTACTCCTTTGACAACTGCTAGGGAAAATGAAATTTTTGAACTTGAAAGCTGTAGCAACAATGAAAATGTAAATGTTGGTTGTTTCCTTGAAGTGGACCCGTTATTGGACCAAACCAACATAGTGGAAGAATCTCAAACGTTGATCGAAAATTTACGTAACGCTTTGAGAAAAGCTTTACGGGAGCGCAATAAATATAAAAAGGCACTGGAAAGTTGTGTCAATAATTTACAAGGGACATTAAACGAGGATCAAATTCAATTTATTCAAACTGGCACTGCCAGAGGTCAACTATGGTCAGAAGATACAATGACAAAAGCACTGAAATTGTATTTAGCTTGTGGCGCCAAGGGATATGAAGAGATACGACGGCAGAAATTGCCATATCCGAGCATTAGGACCATACAACAACGTCTTCAAGGAATCAAGTTTGGAGCAGGTCTGTTGGAAGATATATTTGTTCTTCTAGAAAATAAAGTGTGGTATTAGTCATAGTTTTTGGGTTTTTGGTATATAGATTAGTGCATAGTGGGATGGTAGTAACTAATTAATTATTTATTTGTTGTAGATATTGAAGTTCAATGAACACGAAAAGCAATGTGTGCTACTAGTTGACGAAATGGCGATCAAACCTGGCATTCAGTATGATAATTCTATCTATCTAGTGACTTTAGTTAAACATATAGATACTAGATTACATATAGTACCGACATCGGGTCACTAACTGGTCCCACTAGTGCTGCCAACTTAAAATCCAGACGAAAAATGGCGCCTCTTTTAAATTAAAATTTGACACATACAACGAGAAAAACTTTTTCGTAGTATATGAATCTCTCCAAGAAAATGGGACAAAAAAAAGTATATGTATCTCCTAGTATTTTTATTCATAGACTTTGATCTGTACACTATTGTTCTGTTATGTTTTTTTTACATAAAAATACACCCTACTTCTTACATATAATTTAACAATATTTTCAATTATGTTATTGCGGCAGGTACAAAACATTGTTTTTTCTAAACTGTCGAGTACAATACTGCTGAAGATGTAAACTGTTTCGAAATATTTTTTCCATCTTCACAAAAATATGAAATATTTGTGATGTTGGAACCGTTAGTGAATTCAGTTTGTATGTTCTTCCTTCTTTTTTCGCTGGAATTCTAACCAAGGAAAATCCGTTTCGGGAATTACTTTTGCAATTCTGAGTGCAACACGACGGCATTTTTATTGATTTCAACGCAAATCTTCACACGAACAACACAACACACAAACTTGCAATAAACAACAAAATGGTGTTTTGAGTTTTAATAACTCTTTGTGCTACGTTGTTTACGTCAGGGTAGACAACACAAAACACAACCAAAACATGAAATATATTTCTGACATTTAGTTACTTCAGTGCAACCAACACAATTTGGGACCAGCCAGGAGACCAGATGTCGGTACTATATGTAATCTAGTGGCTATAGTTAAACAGTTATTGGTAGAATTTTAATGCCGGCTTTTACGAGTGACACAATAAGAGCAATTTTGGTCATAGCAACTTATTAGGAGTACGTTTTTTCAACAAATCTGTAAAAAAAACAAATATCCTCAGTTACATTAATTATTATTAAATGCTAGTTTATACAGTATTTTAATTGAGATTAAGTTAACAATGGCGACGCATTTAATGAGGTGTTGACTCTCTACTTTTATGTTTTCTCGACCTTTCATGACCCCTAGAAGACGAAGAAATAGGTCTACCGTGTCCGTCTGTCCTTCTGTCTGTCTCTCTGTCTGCCGTCCCGGATTTTAATTAGACAGATAATCTCAGAAAGTACTGGACCGATTGTTGTGAATTTTTTGAATTTATATTAGGAATATCATGTAGATGGTAAAACGCTAACCAAAATTTGTCTAATCATCCCCACCAATAATGTGATGACATCACATCAAAATTGTACATAGTAAATGGGTTTGAAACTGTATAAAATAACATAGTTCTACACATGTAGTTTATGACTCCGAATTGAGTTTTTACCCAAAACGTCCAGATTTCTGAAAAAAAATCAAAATTATGAGACAACAGTTTGCAATTTCATTAATTTACCTAATTTGGAATCCGCACAACCGAATGTTCTGAAATCTTGCAGATGGTTTACAGTTATGACAGGTATGATAAACCTTTAATCAAAATATATTTACTTATCCCCTCCAAAAAATTGATGACGTCAGCTCAAAAGTTTGCCGAATAAATCAAATCTAAAATGTATAAAATATGATGAGTATGTACTAGTGATTTATCATTCCATTCATATTTTTTAAATGTGCATATACAGGCTGGCTAAAAAAAAATTAATGAATGCGTGAATTTATTTTCTTGATTTAATCAGGAACTAAAAAACCGAATGCTTTGAAATCTTGGAGATGTTTTAAAGTTATCATAAGCATAGTAAATATTTGATCAAAATCAATTTGCTCATCCCCCTAAAAAAATGATGACGCCACCCCAAAATTTTGCTGCAAAAATTCTATCTTAAATGTGCATGTCTATGCTTGTGATTTATCACTGCCTTAATATTTTTTAGATTTGCGGGGTATCTGAAAAAAATATTGACTGATTGTATTTTATATGTACTCGTATGTTGAGATGTATCGTGTATTTGGTAAAACTCTAACCAAAATTTACCCAATTTCCCTATCAATGCCATGACATCTCAAAAATGTTTATAATAAATTTTATAAAGCAGCATAATCTTGCATTTGTTTTATTGAATACAAATTCACAAAATCAATTTTTTTAATTTTTCGAAAAAGCGGGATCTGTGGCACTGCACTTCGGGGGCGAGGGAAGTCCTGTCGAAATAAGTTTAATTACTGTAAAACCTCACATTTTTCAAGTCTTCATAGGAGCAGTTCTTCGAAAAGTTGTAACCGAGTTCAAAGGGGAGATCAAAGAAATAAAATTATCCAGTTTTGTAATCAATTGACGCCAACATACGTGTGGTTAAAAAAAAGAAAAGAATCGACGCCAAGCAGAAAAGCGTATGTATTATTTTGAACATTTACAATTCAATTTATTCAGCAAAATAGTAGATAATGTCGTCAAATTTTGGGGGAGAGAAACAAAAATTTTACCACTGATACAGAAACCACACAATCGATTATTAAGGCTAGAATTTATTTGCTAATTTCTAAAAACTTGGCAACGTCATTCTAAAGTTTGGCAAATATCACTTACAGCTGGCTTGCTTTGGATGTTCAAAAATAATGAATTTGTGAGTCGATTTATCGAGTTTTGCTTAAACATTTATGTGGTTTGTTTCTGATTTTTATATTTTACTGCAAACAGTGCAATCATCTACTTTTTTATTATGTACTCCTATTTCATAATAACCGTCGTGGTCCATTTGCGACAACTTTTTATGTAAAAATGGTGTTGTGTTTGTGATCTTTTACGAGAATTCTAAATACGACGAAAAGGAATAAGCCGGATACATACAGTATAGAACAATTCTTTTAATTTTGGCAAGGTGTCCTAAAACCGTATGTTTCTGTTTCTGTGTTCGTCCAACACAGATACAAAGGTATAGGGCTTTTATAAATGATTCTAAGAGCGTAGTTGGCCATGGATTTAAAAAATCCCGCTTCGTTGAAATTATGCCTCATTATGGCAGTTCTCACTTGTCACACTATTGATTTCATTTGTAATCTGTCATTTAAAGTCGTTGTTATTATTCTTTTAATGTTTTTCACGTGCGAATTACAGTAATTCTCGTTGATCCAAGCTCAAAAAAACAAAACAGTCGTTTTCAAAACTCATGGTGGTTGCGTCCGAAAATTTTGTTTTTGTGCCAGGAAACGAAGACTATGAAAATGGTTTTCTGTTGAACTAGACACTTTCATTGTTGTCTTGTTAACGCAATGGGACTTCGTAAACAAAAAGTGCGTGTATTCTGTAACCGCTTGTAAGCAAGAATATCTGGCAAATACTGTGATTTAATAATTCGAGAAACATCGCTAAAGGCTCACATTAGAGATGTAATCAACAGATTTGTTCGACTGGCAAGAGAAATTTTGTGGAAAACTTCAGTATCCGAGGAAGTCGTGATGTTTAACCGCAATAAATTTGTTTCTTTTTATTATAATGAATTAGTTTTATTTTTTTAAAGATATGAAGCGTTTAGGCAACCAGTTATACAGATGCGTGTGGACTTGGCTACTTGATACAGATCTCCGTATAGTTAAATCTGAGAGGCGGCACGTTTACATGACCTACAGCGACTCTATAAACATTTATAGAAACCCTGGACAACGAGACCAAGAATGATTCAAATAGTTGACAAAACTGAATAATTTTGGGTTTTCAGTTGGCGGGAAGAACTGTCCGCCAAATTACATATTTCAAATTTGATTTTGTGTCATAGGTGTTGCTTTTACCCTTAGCATTTTAATTTGCCCCTAGTGTGTAGGTTTGTGTTTTTGGTTCCCTTTTTTTTTTCTTCAAAACATGCCCCTTCTGTGGAACAAAATACCTTGATGGTAATGGCATATTTTCATAGTGGAACCCAAGATGCATTTGGGAACTGGGATTATTCCATAGAGTTTTGCTATAACCAGTTCATGGGCATGTATCCTGATATACAAATTGCATTTCATCTTTTTACACAGCTTATTTCCACCTCTCGGGTTACGTGAATTCCCAGAATTACCGAACATGGTCTACTCAAAATCCTCATGTTTTCGTGGAGACAGATTTGCACCCCATTAAAATCGGTGTTTGAATCGCCATCTCTAGGAGAAGGATAATTAGGCCTATCTTCTTTAATGATACGATAAATGCCGACAGATATAGAACACTAATTTTAGACAATTTTGTATATTAACTGGACGAAGAAAAACGAGAAAATTGTTTTTTTTTTCAACAAAAACCTCATACAGATGCATACAGATGCTACTA